CGACAATGTGCGACCACTGCTCGGTGTGACGTCACACTCCTGGTTGTGTCAATGGTGATGTAACGCTCAATTGCTTAAAACGTAGAAGGATTAATGACGAAACAAATCTGTCTTGTACCAAGACAGTTAAATTGCCTGAAGTTCCTAGCACTTTTCTTCAGTATCTCCAGGAACACAAAGCAACACTACGTACACATAACTTAGCGAGCGCCACACCCAGTGGAACACGAAAACAGCCGCAATATATAAGAAATCCGTGGCCTGTAGTCCGCAAGTCAACTATATCGACCAAGCGACCGCCGCTTGTCGGCGAAGTTAGTACCAGCTTTTGCTGATAGAAGGTGTCACGTGGTCAGCGCAACGGATCCCCAAGGCCGTTAATCTCGATTTTCTAGACCGGAGCCGTTATTTCCTTGAAATAGCTCCTCAATTATGCTCACGAGGCTGAATGGACCCCGTTCCAGAACCACTAATCGAACCCGGAACCCCTGGATCTGTAGCCAGGAACTTTGGCCACTAGACCACAGAGGCAGTCAGTCTTCAGCCAGCGATCTACAATTCTTCAAGTTCGTCTGAATATTCTGTGCAACTACAATATATTTTTATATAACAGTGTAATGGGAACGCGGTAGCGTAGTTTGTTGAGGCACTATGCTACAAGCCGGAAGGTCGCGGGTTCAAGTCCTGATGAGGTCATTGGACTTTTTCAATTGACCTGATCCTTCCAGCCGCACTATGGCCCTGGGGTCGACTCAACTTTTAACATAAATAAGTACCAAGAATATTCTTGGAATATTCTTAGGGGTTAAGGACGGCCGGCGCGTAGGGCTGACAACATTGCCGCCATCTATGAGCCGATTGTCTAGAAAATGTGGGAACCTCAACATTTCACAACCCTATGGGCCTCCATGGCCTGTTACAGGGATACCTTTACTTTACTTTATATAAGTGTTATAAGTGGTTGTCTCTACACACAACGACATCTCACATATCTAAAAGTTTGTGACGATGGTACATTAGTACAAATATTATGTTTCTGGACATTATCCATCGTATTGTCTTTATCTAAAAACCGTCCTGTTTATTTTTCAAAACAACGTTTGAGAGACTAGATTCTGTCTCCGTCTTCAGGTAAAACCTTCTCATTTGGGTCCAGTCGATAGAGCTAGCCTTTATCTCCGTAGATAGATAATGTTCAGAAACATAATATATGTATTTCATGTCATTCTGCTTAATAAATTACGCACAGGGACAATATTACCTTTTTACCTTTAGTACCTTAGCCTTATTGAGCTATACGAGAATGCCACAGTTTTTTTTTATCGTAACTTAAGTATATCATACGCGGACTAATACACTTTTAAAATTTAGTTCCAAACAGCCATCAGCTTATTTCCGTTAAGAAATCTGACTGCCCAAGGACAAAGGTTAATATAATTTTATAACAGGCGAGCCGTTAGAAAAATGTCTTATACCCAAAACATTGCTACCCCTTTCCCGAAAACCGTATCATATATACATCATGACGATCGTGATTTCAAATAGCCCCCCTTTTCCTTAGCCAAATTCTATGAAAGTGTAATGGTGGGACGTATTTATTGAGCTAACAGCATCACAGATGGCGAATAGTTTTTGCACACTTATTTATGACCCTTTCTTTTCTCTATTCGAAAAATATTTGGGGGGGATAAGGCCTTGTCTGACCCATTGAACCGTGAACCAGATATGTAGGCCCTTGAAGAGGGTTCCTCCCTCTTTTCCGTCTCTATATCAGGGGTATGCAATGACCCTGACCTAGAGAAATTTTCACTCTTCATGGGAATAGGGAAACTGGCATGGCTTGGTATACAAATGGACTACAGGCTGGACGGCCAGGGTTCGACTCCCAGCAGAGGTAAGAAATTTCTCTTTACTCCACAGCGTCAAGCCAACCTCTGGGAGACTCAGCCTCATATTCAGTGGATACCGGGGACTCTTTAGCCGCGGTTAAAGCTGCCGTGGCATGAAGCTGATCACTCACATCCATCTAGTGCTGAGGTCAAGAATGACGGAGCTATACCTTCACTCCCTCATATGTCTTTACGCATAGTGCTGAATTAATTAAGCATATGGACAACTTTACCTTCACCTCTGCATATTTCTAGCTGTGGAGAAAACTCGGACTCAGGTTCCAGCTCCAGCCGATTAGCCCTTGAAGCCTGAAATTCATATGTGTTTAACAAATCGGTTCTTGTCTCGCTTCTTGTGTCTCTATGAAAACCGTTGGTTCATGCTGATAATGGAAATAATCGCTATTTAGTCTCACAATCACACGAAGCACATACAGAGGCCCATAATTTGTGCGTAAAATCTGTGTGACGCCTGCGTATCTTAAAAATACATAGGCCTATTTGTGTAAAATCTAGGATTGCTTTTAGGTGGAAATCGATCTAAAAGTTTCCTAGATAAATAATTGTTCACCCCTGTTGTCCTGTGGCGACTAAAATTTTGGGAAACCTATTTCTTATGTGACCATTTAGAAACCCCTACCTCTGGTTATCCGCGTATCGATGTCGCAACTCTGTAATGCCACAACAAACAAAATCTTCACCATGAGCATGCTGGGGATCGAAGCGGGTAGGAAATACATTCATTCTTCAGCGAGAAGTAAGCACGCTTCAGAATTTAAATGTTCCTCAGATTTCGTACAACTTTCGAATTTACGTACAGGGCACTCAACGTATTTCGTCAGTTTCTGCAGGTAATTTTTTTTTCCTTGGCACTACAGCCCCAGTGAGCCTAGGCCTACCTCCATGAACTTCTCCGTTCACTTCGGTTTTTCTAGATCTTACTCATTCGGTAGGACTCCTTGGGCGGGTGATCAGCTCGTCGCAAGTCCTCTACCTTTACACAAACACAGAAAAACGCACACACGCAGACTAAACATCCATGCCCTGAGTGGGATTCGAACCCACGATCCCGGTTTCCAAGCGAGCGAAGACAGTACATGCCTTAGACCGCTCGGCTACCGTGACCGGCTCTGCAGGTAAATACAGAGGCATATATCCTTAACGCATTAGAAGACACTGATGGTTCTAAAACGACAGCCAGTTTCGTTAACATCGGCTATTTTAACTTCACAACCTGATGATGGGGACGGAGATGGTCTCAGAAACGTAGTTAATCAATTCACATGGTTGATAACCCGAGAAGGACTCATATCTCCCCGTCCCAAGTTCGCTAGAAGTGGCAGTCTCTCTACTACTGCCATTGTGCTAATGTATAGCATTCTCATGAAAGATACAATTTTCAAAACTCCGTGCCCTTTCAGTCCGCAAGCGAACTATACCGACCGAGCGACCGACGCTTGTCGGTGACGATAGTGCCAACTTTAGCCGACAGAGGGTGTCGCGTGGTCGGCGTATCGGATCCCCACTGCTGTTAATCTCGGGATTCTAGACCGGAGCCGCTACTTTTCTATTCAAGTAGCTGAGTGGACCCCTTTCCAAACACACTACTTCTCAGAAAACCTGGTAGCGCTGTGAATGGAAACCGAGACCTCTGGATCTATAGCCAGGAACGCTGTCCGAAAACTTGTATAATTTATAAGCGAGGTGCAAGATACTGAAGCAAAAGAGGTACTCGCATCTGATATTCTCTGAAGCTAACCAAATATATGAAGCACAGTCCTACTTGAGAAGCTAATTGTCGCTCAGCTGGTCAAGCAATTTACGGCATTTTGTGAAACCCAGCTTTTAATTGTTGTATTCACAAGCTGCTGCCGCGGGACCATATCCTGAGCGAGATGAAACCAGGTCATACCCTCAAAACCCGTATTATTAATGTAGCATGTATAGCCATTGCTAGGGAACAGCTAGGTAAACACGTTCTCGCGAAGGCAAATGCGGGGCCAACAATAGGCAAGGAGTTTCTATTACAAGGCAACGAAATTGCAAACACACAACAATAGAGAATACCTCCACCGTGATCCTGGGAGTCGTAGGAGGCGACGAAAAGGGAAGTCTCAATTCTGAGACAGTAAAATATGGCCTCGAACTCCAAGGGACTCGGACCCGAGAAAGACTGCACTGGCAAGAGCCAGCAGCATATAAAAAAGACAGACTCATCCTCTCGTCAGAGAGGGCGCCCCACAAAAACAAGGCAGTAACTGTCAACAATAATTATTGTTGACAGTTACTGCCTGTTTTTGTGACCAGATAATTATTATAATAATTATCTGGTCATGATCCCCATATGGGACTCGACACCCAGACTTACTGGCTGACTGACCGTCAGGCGCAATGTCACTTTGACTTTGACTTGGCTTCTCGCAGACGTCGTCCGCCTGTGTCTCATCTTACATTGAATGGAAGTAAGTAACTAATTGGCCGCGCCATAGCTCAAGCGGTTTGTTCGATCATGTGGGATTTGTGGTGGACGTAGTGGCGGGTTTTCTCCGAGTACTTCGGTTTCCCCTGCCAATCTTAATTCCACCAAATTCTCCATCATCATAATCACCCGGGGTACAATAGGCCAATCAGTGGACTCCGTGCCGAGTGGACCCAGTTGGACTCCATCCCCCCCCCTTAGCGAATTAAAAAAAAAATAGGAATGTTGTTTGTGATGTAACGGACGACTTCCACCTCAGAGAGCAAAGTGTGCTGCCATCTCTGCACAGGTTTTCATGACGTCTTGACCGTCTTGACCAATTGTAAGTTCACATAACCTGTGCAAGATGGGGTATGATGTGATCTGTTGTAGCATGAGCGGATGCGTGTTTGGAACACGAAGGAAAGACGTACAAACAACATTGTTAATTGTTTATATCCATTGCAGTAATTAGATTACATCTTCGTCTCTTTCATTTATATTGTTTGCTTAAGCAGCCTTAATAATTTGGAACAATACAAAGTGAAATAGCTTTCCACTCATGATGTTAAACACGGAACGAAATTCATTCTATAATATGGAGTATTTTGAATGTCATGTTGGCCACTCTTAATGGCCGCCTATCGATTGTCATATGTCGATAGATGGAAATTGACTGTCAGTTTGCATTTGACATATGACAGGATTTTAAGTTTTTCTGATAATATCAATTACTTCCGTATTGTAACACTAAGACGAACATGTGTTCTAAATTTATGGCTCCACTGTGTTGGTTTCAAGACATAAAAAGTGGATTACATTTTCCCGATTAAAAATAACATGAAAAGAAGCCCGCTACTATGGCTTGGACCAAAACGTTGAACATGGTCCTCAGAAATATAATTACATTAATGAAAGATGTTGGAGTACAGTTGGTGAATATAAATGGTGCTGTGAACTCTGGAGTGTTATTTTTTTTTAATGTGATATGTATGTAAAGCAATGAACAACATGGGGCAAACATCAACAGAGCAATGGGCCCCACCTTGGAGTCAGGTAAAAGTTTATGACGGCAAAGGAAGTGTTGGGATGGAATACACAATGCTAGAATCCTACTTTGACAGTTTGTATCCTATGAAATCGGGTGATGTCAGTTCAATACAGTCCCTTACCGACAGCAAGATAACCCCAGATAATAACCTTCATTCTAATAGCGTCCCGATATCAAGTGAAAAGAGAGGTTTTGAAGTAGAAGTGACAGTGACACCCCCTGAGAATAATAATACATGTTTTCATAAAGCCGCAGAAACAGTGAACAAAAACGTTTCTAATGAGAAGTCAAGTAATGGAATGCATTACACACAAGAAGTGCCATTTCCAACTTCTCTGCCAGAATGTGTAATTAAAGAAGAACCAGTTACGGTTTTGGATGGTGTAGAGTAAGACAATTTGTTTAAATTTTAAACTGAACCCATGTACATTATTACTGGAAACGATATGGTTTTATCATATGAAATTAAGCTATTTGGGGTATTTTTAAATTATGCCATTGGCTGCCATGCGGTCATACCAACATGAATATCTTCAATGAATTATTACGTTTGGATTAATATTTTATTCCAATTCATTGAAATCAAATCATAAATTAAATATTGGATATTTAAAATATCTATTATTCTATAAGAATTTTAATGCGTTTTTATTAACAATTATGAAGTGGCTTTCATAGTACATATGTGAATATTCCTGAATGGTTATGGGATTTATATGTTGGCGATATACAGAAGTAAAAGGAAAATGGCTGACTGTCAAGTATTTGTTGATGTCTTTAAAATATCCCGAATTGCTCTTACTGATGTTTTCTGATTGTACTGAAGTATAGAAGCAGTTAAGTTAGATTCACGGTGTAATATTTATCAGGATGGTAGGTGTTACTGTAGATAAATGTTAGTAATTTGATAGGAATAATTTTTTTATTGCTAAGCCTAGCAGTGCCGTGTTATTGATTCTTTAAAAATTCGAGCTGTAATGTAACGAAAAACGAGTAATGTATTGAAGTATGTTATTTATATCGTTCCAGGCGCCGAACACCAGGGTTAGCATCAGTAGGATGGGGGAGCCATCCATCCATGCATTTTGACTCTCTCAAAGTTGTGTCAGAACATCTCGTGGAGAGAATCAAACTGGAAGATTCTCTATTTCGCGATGTGTTTCAGAGTGCTGCCAGTTTCCCAATGTGTGCCGCTTCAGCACCTACATCATCTTGCAACAGTCCTTGGGGAATTACCCCACAGTGCAACTTGAACACTTTTGGGTCCTCTATTAATGATACAGCAGTTTGTCACGGAGGAAACACTGACAGTCAAAATAAAACAAAGGCTTATTCTGTAGGAAACAAGGAACAAAATTCCACTGCGTTTATACAAACAAATAATTTTAATAAGAACATGAATAATAATTTTATGTGTACAACTATGTTTCTAATGAATGACAGCCTGCAACAAAACAATGCACATCAGTCACACAGTAATTCTAAAAAACATAACGATATATTTAATGTTACATGTGAAAAAGGTTGCAATTGTGAATCAACAAACTCACTGTTTCGTGCCAGCGGCGGTCAGGTGTTTAGTGCTGAAAAGCATGCTGCTGCTGCTAAACACTTCATGACTCCATGTGGACCATTGCAGTTAACTGCACAGGAATGTAGTGAATTTTTACTGAAAAAAGTCGCGGTCTCCAACAGCCTAGTAGGATCTGACAGTTCTCATATAGGGGCTCAGAACAATTATAGCACAAATAATACACAGCAGAAGAACAGACATTCAGGTGCAAGCTTGGATAATGCTCAAGAGACAAACAATACCTCAAGTGGGAAGTTGGCTGATACTGGGGTTAACACAGGGCAGAAGTATCGAGTGGCCAAGGAGCGTCCTTTTTCATGTCAGGAGTGTGGAAAGTCATTTCTGCTGAAACATCATCTGGTGACACATGCTCGAGTTCACACTGGTGAACGACCTCATGTGTGTCCAGAGTGTGGCAAGAGCTTTGCACACAAGCACTGTCTGAGTACGCACCTGCTGCTTCACAGCAGTCAGCGGCCATATCAGTGCCCAGAATGTAAGAAGTCATTTACTTTGAAACATCATCTTGTGACTCATGCTCGAGTTCATAGTCGGGATCGGCCATTTGTTTGTCGGGAATGTGGGCGAACATTTCCTCAGAAACGCCATTTGGCCACCCATGCAAAGTTTCATTCAGGCGAACGTCCACATGTATGTGAAGAATGTGGGGAGTCATTCTCACGTGAAGAGCACCTTGTGATCCATTCTCGCTTTCACGGTGGCCAGCAGCCATATGTGTGTCCAGACTGTGGAAGCACTTTTGCCCGCAAATTTGAGCTGGTGAACCATGGGCGCCTGCATGGTCGCATACCGCATTCCTGTGATGTATGTGGCAAGGAGTTCCTACAGAAGCGAACGCTCCTCGCTCATGCTCGACTCCACGTGGAAGGGGAACGTCCATTTGTCTGTCAGCCCTGTGGTGAAACTTTCCAACGCAAAACAGAACTTGTTGAGCACTCCCACATTCATGCAGATGAGAAGTCCTTCGTATGCAGGTAGCTGGGTCCCCTGGCATCATTCTCATAGTCAGTATGTAACCATGTTAGATCATGTCATCTAGAGAAGGAAGGTACCGGAAACTTGGGAGCAGAGACTTCTCTAACATCCAAGCATTTTCAAGGAACAGTTCACATTAGATCATTGATTAGATTGAAACTACCTGCCATGAGTTCCCTTCCTTTCTGTAAGCACTAGTCATTGTATATTTCCACGTATTTACTCACATTAATACACATGGTCTGAAGTTGGTTGCATTCTCTGTGTACTTTTTCGTAGGGAATGTGGTGATTGTTTTCCAAATCGAGAGGCTCTTGCGCTACACTACCGTCTCCATGCTGGCGATCGTAACTTTGTTGCGGACTTATGCGGTCTTGCAGCAGCATTCCAGCAACCAGCAGCTCACTTCCTGTGTCCAACTCCACTCCATCCAACTGCCATGAGCAAGTTGAACCAGAGTTCTGTTGGAACCTCTGCGTCTCTCAGCGGTATGGTGCCATCAACTCCGCCACAGCCGAAACCAAAACCTCATGTTTGCCCTGACTGCGGCAAATGTTTTGCCCAAAAGCATGGGCTAGCACAGCATAACAGAAGGCACAGTGGTGGCAGCTGTGATGTTAGGCACCATGCCTGTGACAAATGTGGTAAAGCTTTCTTTCAGAAAAACCATTTGGCTTTGCACCAGAGGCAGCATCTGGAACTTGCAACGTCAGACACCCACACAGACACAAAGGCATTTCAAGTTAACATTCCAATATCAGGAGAATAATGCGGAAGGGAAATATTTTAGGTTTGTGATTATCGGAACACATTTTTATATTTATGTGAATGGATTTTGTGGCTGCATTCAGTTTTGGAATTTTATATTAAAATCTTGCCAAATTGATAGAAGAGTTACGGAAGTCGTGTTTAGTTTCGTATGGACGTATACTGTACAAATTGTTCCATGCCAGTTTTTAATTTACAGGCTTGTGCTTAGGCCTAAGGTTTTCATGATTGTCGAATAAAGGTTATGACAGTGTGCAGTTTTCTGTTTAGCAGTGCTTTAGAAGGCCTGCTGCATTCATTGAAAGAAACTTGGACATAGCAGATTCTTTTGAGACATCAGTAACCACATGTAGAACTATACAGTATCATAGCCCAGAAGACTGCAATCTTATTTGATTTTGCTTGTGAAATTGAGGGCTGTTCCATGCTTTGGTTTACATTCAAAATCATATTCTAGGCTAACTGAAATAATGTTGCACTTTTTTTTTAAATTGTTTATAAGTAGTATTTAAGATTGAGTGTGGCATTTATGACAGATATGAAAGATAAATAAGAAGAAAGCAGTCTTCTGGGATTTGGCACCGTGTATATGTGGTGTTAACCAACGTTTCGGAGGAACGTATCGTCTCCATCATCAGGGTAGAAGAAAAAATATAAGAAATCTGCAAGCGAAGAGACTGTGAGAACCGGTAAAAGCACGGTCTCTTCGCTTGCAGATTTCTTATATTTTTTCTTCTACCCTGAAGATGGAGGCGATACGTCCCTCTGAAACGTCGGTTAACACCACATATACACGGTGCCAAATCCCAGAAGACTGCTTTCTTCATAGTCACCGCCGTGAAAGCCTCAAATCTTACATGAAAGATAAATGCTTATTGATGATCTTGGAATAGTTGCTTTAGTTTGATAGTAAAATATGTGAGAGAATTATTATATAGCAACAGATTTATTAATGTGTGATGTGTCTAATAAAATATTAGTGAAAGTGAAATATAGTTCTGTAGTGGATACATATCGAGCCATGAATTGTATGCAGCTGAGTGTTCACGTTGTAAGAAGGTGAATTATATATGGCCGTGTTGATGTTCGGAACATATTTTTCAGCTCATCAGATGTTTTAGAAATTATAGTACTCAGCTGTTGTAGCATGCTTTAAGAAATTGGAAGAGATTCAAAATATGAATGATCCAGACATGTCAAGCTTATTATAAAATGAAAGAATTTCTCTCATAAAATATTCTTGCCATTAGTGACTGTGTGGTTTTATTTCGAAGTTTATAAAACTACTTTAACTGATAAACATGGTACAGTATATTGAAGACCAAAATTGTTCTTAAAATGAATATCATTGCTACATGAACCGTTGTGAAATGTTAGCATTGTTGCAATAAGTCTTGTGACCTTTCTGTATGTTATTTTATCTTTTATATTTTTTTTCTTATATGTTGTGATAGTCCATTTTTTTACCTGACAGTTGTAACATAAAGGAACATATTGTAGGCCTCTTGAGAGTTCCAATATTCATTATTGTTGTTAAATTATGTTTAATGTATGTAAATGAAATGTATTTACACCTGAAGTATTAACAAAGTTTTGATTGTCTTTTGCAGATTCTGTTTAAATAACACAACTGGTCACCCTCACCTTATTGTAGCTGATCCTTCCTGATACTTGCTCTGCGACAGGTGATGTCAGGTGTGGGAATGAGGCAGCGTGTCAAGTTGCACAGCTATGGCCAGCATCACGGGGTTGAGCATGGACTGTGTCATGATTCGCATGTTTGTTTGTAGTAAAAAAAAAGGTTGTTGTCCCTGTGCTTAACTATTTAAGCACTACATCATGAAGATGTATGAGGAAGTGGATGTATAGATCCAAATTTTCTTGACCTTGGAACTAGTTGGAGCTGAGTGGTCAGCTTCGTGCCCACAGCCGCTTTACCCCTGGGGAAAGAGCCCCCAGTATCATTGAGTAGGAGGATGGGTGGACCCCAGAGCTGGTCTGGATGACCTGGAGAAGTGAAAATTCTTGCCCCCACTGGAACTTGAACTCCTACCCCTTGGGCATTCAGCCCGTAGCCAGTTGCTATATCAACTGCACTATCCCGGCTCTTTTAGTAAATACTTATGTGCTTATTCAGAACACTTTTAAGAAGTACTGTGTGCTGGAATGTGATGCTGTGTAGTAAAGTAAAGTAAAAAGTAAGTAAAGCTATCCCTGTAACAGGCCGTGAAGGCCCATAGGGTTGTGAGACGTTGAGGGTCCCACATTATCTAGACAATCAGCTCAGAGATGGCGGTAAGGTTGTCAGCCTTATGCGCCGGCCGCGCTGTACCCCCCAGGAAAATTATTTAATTAATTCCTGGTACTCATTTCTGTTAGAGGCTGAGTTGACCCCAGGGCCATAGTGCGGCTGGAAGGATTAGGTCAATTGAAAAATCCAATGACCTCATCGGGACTTGAACCCACGACCTTCCAACTTGTAGGATAGTGCCTCAACCCACTACGCTACCGCGCGCCCCGATGTTGTGTGGTCCAGTAGTAAACAAGATTACATAGCAACACATCCCAAGGCAGTACTCTTCACACTCACAGCTGTGAGAACCTCAAATCCTACATAGGAATACATCTGCATCTTCACTGTGTTTCATGCTGAAGTTCTCTATAGGGAAACATCTACTATTTAGGTTTGTCTGGGTCCTGGCTGATTCTTGGTTGCTGTTATTATTATTCTGTATTACAAATTTCTCTTCTTTTTGCTTGACGACATTCATTCTAGCATTATACAGATGAGAGTGAAGGACAAGCTCTCAAATTCCATACCATGGGAGAGAGAGTGCTGGAACACTATTGTGTTGTCTCCTTTGCTGTGAGTGCCAAAACAAAAGCTTGTGTTTAAACAAAAATTTCAGTACAGTGATTGATTTTATAGTCATTAGTCATCTTAATTTTATTTAAAAATAACATTTGGGAGACAGAATCCAGTCTGTAAAATAACATTTTAAAATAAGAAATAAGATGATTGAAAATACCCTGAAAGTTAATTGTTATATTAATATACTATTATCATGAACTTCTAAGAATTTCAGTATATAATTATAAAAGGTGAAGGTGTCCCTGCACCTAATTAAGCTCTGTTCCATGAATTCATGGGGAAGTGGAGGTATAGCTCCATGCATTCCAAATCTTGGAATTTGATGGAAGTGAGTGGTTAGGTTCACGGCTTGGATGCTTTAGCCCTGGGAAATAAGCTTCCAGTAATCATTTGGTTTGATACTGTGTGGGCCCCAGTGCTGGCATGGACACTATGGAGCAGAGAAAAATTTCTTACCCCTGCCAAAAATTGAAGCCAGATTCCTCAGACATACAAGCTATAGCCCAGTCTCTGTACTGACTGAACTATCCGAGCATCAGAGGATTTACTACGCAGTTAATAATATCAATGTACAGTGGCCATCAGTTGCAGTAGTAAACATATCCTTTTTTTTTTTTTTTTTAAATTGTTTCATTTTGGTCCGTTACACTATCAATCACCAATTATCAATAGAACCTCCGTCGAGTGTAACAATATATATTCTTGTCACCATTTTCTCACATTTGCCTTACATGTTTCGGCTCACAAAGAGCCATCATCAGAGGCAACCACAACAAAAACATGGAAACACTTGCACTGCTCAACAATCACAATATACAGTTTTTTGTGGAAGATGTTACACGTATCGGAGCGTAAAACACAACAACATCCAGTACCCCGAGTGCGGGTATCCCATTTGCATTTAAAATATCACCCACAAAGCGGGTCGTTAATGTTAAAATTAAAGTTAAAACCGTCCAAGTAAAATATTCAGGTTCCTCTTAGTGGATAGTCCCAATGGGGGAGGCGTCAGCACGAGGTTGTGTGGGCT